AAAAAAAACAACTACATCAAGTGATCAATAGCTTCAAAGATAATCTGGCATCATTTCCTGATTGTAGGAGAGAGAACTAACCCTTCCTGCAACCCTGAACAAGGAGGAGCATCAGTTTATTCTAGCAACTACCTTCACATCCAGTTCTAATTTTGCCAACAGCTAGGAGATCAAATTTGGATGTGCAAGGCTGCGCCATGAACAAAAGCAATGCACCTCCTTCGTCTCTCCTGCCCGGATGCCCTAGCCCCCGTGGCAAGCCTGGAGAAGTGACCCTGCTCCCCTGCAGTCCCTTAGAGGAGACAGTGAGTGCTGCATCACCCGTTACCATTGACTTTAACTCTCCTGCTGTTGGATTCACTGATGTGTACAGGACTCTTCTGTGTCCAGAGAAGACTGTTCTGTTCCTCTGTCTGTAACCTAAGATCACTTTGAGGGCTGAATCCCTGCCCTCCAGCAAGTAATGCCTTTGATCCTTCCTTCCCACTGCGCTGTTTGTAGCAAGCCCTTGACAAGGTCAGGAGCTATTTCCATCTGTCTCTGTAGCCACATCCGTATCAGTGCATGTCTGACACAGCTTCTCCTCAGTTGCTGCCACTCTCTGCCCTCTGGGATGTCAGCATCAGTGGTCAGAGGGTAGGATGGCAACCCAACAGTCACGTCTGAATCCAGAAGGTGACCTTCAGCACTGTCACCACTAACACATGGGTGACACTTTGTCTTGGTCCAGAAATCAAGTGCTATCTTTAGCTTGAGAAAGACAATTAGTTGGCCAATTAGATAAGCATGGATCATATAGGCAGTATTCAGCTCACCTGCTTTCCTCTCCTGCCATCACTTGTTAAAGGAAGAGGAATGAATTGGTAATAAAAAGGGAGTTAATCCTGCAGGCAGCCGTTTTAATCTTGACAGTGCTGCATGTCTTCATACAATATTTTTGCCAGACATGCTCAATACAGCTTTCAAAGGAAGCTGTTGATTCTTAAAAGACAAGGCCTTTCACCTCCTACAAAAAGAAAGAGCTTTTTGGGTTTAAATACATACAGTCAGAAAAAAGTCACACCACTTGGAAGAACATTGCAGATGTAGCATTTAATCCTGCTCCATTTAATTCTTAATACGCTGAAGCTAATATGGGTTTAACTAAATCCTGCGTTAAATACTCTAGAAGCCATTCTGTTCATACTCTGAATAAATGCATCTTGCAGCTACACAGTGCCACAGCAGCTTAAAAGTGCAAAAGTATGGTTTCTCCACTGTTGTATTTACCCTGCCTCTTCTGGTATCTCCTGCTTTGACTAAATTCAAAATGGGGTCGTTTGGCAAGCTGGAGCACATTTTACTTCAGATGGAGAGGTGCATACAGTGGAGTAGGTTTCTTTTATTCTTTTTATATGAGTAACAAAATGTTTGGAAGTGAATATTTATTAGTAACAAAAGCACCCACAAACCAAGCAACCCCACCCCAATAATATGCATCTTCTGATTTTAAGTACAAGGCAATTTAGGTGTGGGGGTTTATTTACTACAAACATAATCATCTGTTTGGGCTTTTGTTTGCTTTTCTACAATGAGCAAGGTGTCAATTACCAGTGACATCCATCTTAGCTCATTTCAACTGAGAGATATTAAAAAAATCTTGATTAGCTTTTTGGCTTGTACATGTGCTACAGTAATAGATATGAAAATGCAGGCTAATATAGCTAAAGGCATGCAATTATAACTTTTGTTGTGAAATGTATGCCAGACGTGCTGGGTTTAGACAACATATAAAGGTAGGACATGGAATTTTTAAATACTATGGTCATTGATCAGGCTCTTTTTTGTGTCCTTTCTACAATCCTTTTGCTTTAACCAAGGCAAATTTGATTGTCTGACGTGAACTGAGATAATACAGACAGGAGGAAAACAGAGGAAGAGAACTGTATTGATGATCTGCTTGGGTTTGATTATTGACTTTTGTTTTAAGTCACCAGAGTCATGTTCTAGAAAAGAATGACTTGTTGAATCCCTGCTTTATCACCACCAAGAAAGGATTACCATAGCAACAGGAAAAGACTCTGCATTATAAGAGTAGTCACAAGCTGAACAAGATCATGGTTTAAGATAATGGCCCGGTAGCATGGCAATACGCCAACCAGGGGTGGGGAGGGAGGGAAGTGGCATTTTTCCAATGACAAAGGCATTTAAAAAGAACTAAAATTGTAAATGTGAAACACGTGTGTACTCAAGGCTAACAGAAAGTGCAAGACAAGGAATCGAGAAGCTGTCTGGCCCATTTGTCCAGGGAGCAAATCCACAAGGTTTCTTGTTGATAAATCCCCGAGTTGTCTCTAAGGGTGAACTGCAAATGACTGATGTGTGTCTTTATCATTTTCCCCTTAGCCTCTCTGCTAGGGCATCCATAATGTTCTGCAGCCAGTAATGTCCATACAGCAACTACACAGAAGTGTTTTAAGGCAGACATTTCATGTAGGTTACCTGTCAGGCAGAACCTGCTTAACATCTGGTGGTTACTCGTGAGGTCTGACCCAGCGCTGCAGTTTAGAGGTGCAAGGATCATTCCATCTGCTGTTTGGTGTATCTGTCCTGTTTAGGCACTTACATTTGTCAATCCTCAACATTCAATTCCACAGTATTTGAGAACAAAGCTACAAATGTACACTTAAAACATGAATGAGGATGAGTGCTGAATGAGATGTAAACTGTATGATGCTTGCGACAAAATTTTTCCTGATATTTTCACTTGAAGCCAGCCATCCTCAATTTAAAATTAAGTAAGTGACAGAACAATAAGAACTACAGATTAGAACATGTTGGAAATGAGAAACCCAGTACACAGTAACTGCTGTTCTTTACAACCATTTCTTTGTGGCCAGGTGTGTTTTAGCACCTCTACAAGGGTTTGTGTGCATTTCAATAAAGGTTTTTGTCTTCACCCCTTCAGCTGGTATAGTGAAGGAGTAAATTCACACTGAGAGTACCAAGACGATTCCAGCTCTGGAGCCAATGGGAACCGTTACTTACACCTCTGATTTTCCCATTTTCTCTTTCAACACAATGTGTGTCAGAAAGTCTTCTTTGGGAATTTGGGAAAACGTCAAAAGAAAGAGTCTTCAGTGAAAACCACCAATGTGCTAATGCAAAGTGACATTAAACCCAAACACTTTCCTTTACCAGTCACCAAGATCACCTGTGCACAAGGTTACACAGAGTACAGTGAGACTTTTTTTCAGTTTGGAAGTTAACAGACAGCTTGAGCCAGCCTAACTGCATGCTGCATGTTCTGATACCCTCCATGCTGGCTCCATGACCAAGTACTACAATTAATCCAGAAGGAAATGTGTAAGCTTGTAATCTGTCAGGTCAACAAAGTTGAATCAACTGAGCGAGTTTTCAAGACAACACTGAGCTAACACAAGGGCAGGTTTAGTAGGACTTGGCAAGGACAAACAGGATCTCCTTGTTTTAACACCCGGAGCTATTAGAACAGTTCAAGTACCGTGAGTAAATCCCACCATAGTCTATAACTAGCCTGCAGTCAAATTAATTGTAGGAAAAAGAAACCAACCAAAATTACCAACCAAAACCCATTAGCTGCACAAGATTCATAGCAGCAGTGCATCCTTAAGACGTTTATGGCCTACTTTTTAAAGACACGAGCCAGTGAGGATTCAGGAAATGTGCTTTTATAGAAAGAGGAGCACAGAATGTAACCTTCAGGTACAAACTGGCCTAATAATTTCAGAGAAGAAAGAGACTACTAACTGTGATGACAAAATTCAAGTACCAGACTGCATATTATAAACAGGAAGAGATGTACTGAAATCTTATGATGGCACGGCAGCAGGGAGGGAATGACAAGCTGTAGAGCGTAACACTGCTTGTTTCAATGTCTGGGACCCTCAGTCCTGGAACATCTATCTCTCCTTACAAACATCTGCCCTATTTCTCTACTGAAGAGCTAATAGAAAATACTGCAAGGAGTTCCTTGACACTGCAAGAAAAAATAATATCCAAAATCAAAAGGTATGACCATGGCACGTACTTCTGAGAAAGATGTATCCACCTGTCCCCTCTCATACAGAAACTGGCCAATGGATGAATCCCCAAACACAATAGGCAAAGTCTAATCAGTATCAGAATCATTACGGACCCAGTTCTTCCACTAGCATTTTAATTTTATACCCCTGTAAACACATCAACTTTGCCAGGAAGGTTCTACAATTCTTGTTCTACAAACAAAGGCTACAAATCAGAACGAGGACAAAACACAGGAGAGACGTCAGTGTACACCTGACCCTATAAATCCAAAGGGAACAGATTTTTTGCTTTTGAAGTATTCACCTGGCACTCAAGAAGCAAGAGAAAAAACCCCAAACCTCTACAGTTAGACACAACATATAATTTCAAAGACTGTCAGTCACAAAGCAGGCCGAGATTGCTGGGATCTGCAAATTGTTTTGGCTTGGCAGCATTTTCAGCATGAGGTGAATGCCATTATGACTAATGGGATTTCCCATTACACGTGGCCTAAGGAAAGCAGACATTTCAGAAAACAAATCAGCACTATAAAGGCATAAATATAAATATATTTATGCCTAAAATTAGATTTACTTTTCTGGTATGGAGCTGACCACAATATACTCAGGAATGCAGCATAAGAAATGCTACTGTACCTTATTTAGCTGACTACATACCCAAAACTACAGAGAAAGTGCTGTCACAGCAGCTAGGTCAAAACTCAACACCCAAACAGCGTCAGACTTATGGAAAAGAAAAATAAAGCAGAATATTAAAAATAAGGCAAAGAAAAGATCTTGTAACTGCATTTAGGAGTGATGGCAAATCTCTGTCATTCCAGCTTTGCACTTCCTACATTTCCTACAGTCATTTATCAGTCACATCCACTCAGTTTTGTTTTTCTTACAGAGGAAGGCAAGATGTGTTTCTTCTCTGAACTGCTCCACTGAAGTAATGTGGCATGAACCCCAGCTTACCTGAGTCTAAGTGCCACGGGTCGGTAGCGGCCGACATTGGTGGGATGGTGAGTGGAGATGCTCCGCAGTTGGATTCCACCAGTTCCCCTTCGATGTGGACGTGAGAGGAGACGTTGGTAGGTCTCAGAGCTGCTTTGAGCGGAGCGATCTGGTTGAACTGTACTCTGGATAGGCAGCCAGTGAATCCTGGGGTGTTGTATTTATATATATCTTGGTCAATCTTCCCAATTTCTATGGGAAATTAAGGAGAAAAAAAAAGAACATAAAATTAATCAAAACAATTCACTGCTCTGGGAAGCACAGTTGGTCTGAACACTTGATTCTCAGAGCTCAGTTCCAAAGTTCCTCTCTCAGGAGACTGGGAATGTGTCAAACCCTGCCAGGTTTCTTTACATTCCATTACAGATTAAAGCTGGAAACCTTCAGGCCTTGATGTGACTCGGTTTCGCTGCTATGCTATCATTAAAATGAAAGGCTGGCATGAAGGAGTCATCAGAGAACAAAAGGCTGGGGAAAAAAAATCATTTCCCCAATAAGAGGTGGTGAAGGAGGAGGCAAAGTCAGTCATTGCCAAGGTCTCTCCTCCCAGCTGAAGCTGCTGCTCTAAGAGATGCCCCTTCCTTCACCTTGGTTACCCTGTAGCCCCCTCTCAGTGGACCAGGGCCACTCCTGTTGGCTCCCATCCCTCTCCTGTCTCCTTGCCAGGAGAACAAATGTCCCTTCACCAGGGAACCACACGTCCCTTCAGCCCAAGTGGAAACAGCCCCTCTCCAGCTTCCTTCCTTCCACAGCAGTGCTGAGAGGTGGCAGGTGCCCATCCAGCCCCGCTGCAGGCTGAGGAGCAGCGTGTGTGCTCCTGCACCTCTGCAGCTAGGCCTGTGTCAGCTGGGAACCTGCCTTATTTTACACCCTGTGCTGTGCTGAAAGGCAAGCTTTCAGCCAACGTTCATGAGCACAGCACAGGGCTCCACCACTGTTCTTCCAAGCTGCCTTCCAAGTAGTTTTCTCCCTTCTAACCCACCAGTTAAAATGATCCCAAGGAGGCGGCTGTAAAACACAGCACATGCCCTTACTCCCCAAGAACCTGCTCGCAGGACCTGCTGTGACAGCCTGAGTCACAACCGAGATAAATCTGGCGCTGTCAGCTAGCTGTGTTGAGGGGTATTAACACTTCAAAGGCTCCCTGCAGTATCTAATATAATATCTACGTAGCAGTGAGGAATCTGCTTTCATTTCTTACATGATAGCATGAAGCAAATGAAAAGGACACATGGCAGCATCATGTTTGTGCTGTACCATGAGCTATTGTTCTGGAGGCATGAGACACTTCAAACTGCCTTTCCCTGGGTCAGTAGGGACAGGAGTTAGGTCTGGTCCTTAAAGTCAGTGGGGGAAGTTGTACTGAGCTGAGCAAAGCAAGATGGTTATGCCAGGGAGAGGGAGCAGCCCCAGGTTGTTGAAAAGCAACCTGTTATATGTCAGGAACAATGGTAAGGGTTTGAAAAATAGCATTTCTGGAGAAGAAGTTGGCTGTAAATCACAAGTTTGTGTCATAAAAGGAAAGGAGGAGGTGGGACAGAGAGGGTTCTGCTGAGAGCTGTGAGGAGAAAGTGGGAGAAAAGTTTTATTTTAAGAGTTTGGGGATGTGCTGGGAACCAAAGCACATCTGGGTTTGAGGTTTGCTACAACAAAAACCCCAAAACCTTAAATCAGAACTATTAGAAAATGCATTACTAACCTTTTGGATGTGTTCAGTTCTAACCAAACCAGGATCAGTTCTATGAGGCCTGAGCTGCTGCCTGGGCTCCCTAAGTATGTGAGTGCTATTCCTAAGAGCACAGAGCATCGGAGACACGCATGAGGAGTTTCAAGGCTACAAACCAAGCTGGGAATTTCAAGTATGCCTTTTTTTTGGGGGGGTGTACAGGTTAAACATGAACTGGGGGAAAACTGGTGGGAACTGGACAAATCTTGACATGATTAAAGCAATTTCTCTGTTTTCACAACAAACTAAGCTGTACCTTTTCTATGTCTGCAACCATGTTAGAATGATAAATACACACCATTTAAGTCCCCACCAAACCCAAGGGACATGCACACACACACGTAAGGACACACAAGGAAGATTCATAATCTGAAAGTTACTTGCATCAGATCCTTGTGTGATCCGCTGTACAAGCACGGATTTTCTATTCCTCCCATTCTCCCTTTTCCTTCTTGTTTGAGAACATGCTTTCCTTACTAGCGCTTAGCGAGCCTGTATCAATATTACAGCCACATGTCTTCACAAGCTGGCAGCGAGCAGCAGCTGTCACCTCTGACAAAGCATAAACTTGCTCAGGACTCAGCTAGAGACTAGCTTCAATGCATTAAAATCATTGTACTAGTCAAGTGGGCCTTGCATCCTACTCTCCTTTAAAAAAGTAGCTTGACTGAACAGTTAGCATCATCTCCTTCATGGACAGGAGACATGGTCTAGTGTGAGGCATCCCTGCCCATCACAGGGGAGTTGGAACCTTAAGGTTCTTTCCAGCCCAAACCATTCTATGATAGTAAGTAAAAAACCTCTCATGTGTATGCACACTTTCCATAGTCAATAGAAAAGCTGTACCACATCCAGAGTTCATGAATTTGAATGCTACTTGTAGACGGTATCACTCAGACACGGATCCTATCTGACCACAATATTCACCGTCTCTTACTTCAATAAAATATTCATGGCATATTTTGCAATTTTGAGTAATCCCTACAATCTAAGGAACAATCAGAAGACCACATTTCTCTTTGAACACTGTAACCACTGCCAGTGACAGTGCAGAGATTACCTTTTATTCACATTTTTATATATTCTGTGGAACTTCATGCAACCATGCTAATAGCCTCCCACTCACAATGCTGAATGACAGGAACAAAACCCCATCAATATGATTGTGCTACCTTAGCAGTTTCAGCACGATTCTTCTCTAACTCCATGAATAATAAATGATGGATACAGATGCTGAAAGAATTAAAGAGAAAAACCCACCCAAAAGCCCCTAACAAAGCACCTTGCTGAAGACCTGCATTTCTGTTTAAAACATTCCACACACGATGGCTGTGCAAGTCACCTCATGCAAATTCATACCAGCTCGCACCAGATCAGTGCTAAACCAAGATGGATCAACTTCTGTAACTGTGAAAATGTTCCTTTCCATGCTTGTCCCATGGGGCTCAGCACACCGATACTCTCTGATGTTAGGGCATTATACTTTGCCTCCCTGTCTATCTGAGCCTGCTAAAAACCCATCCCTGGAGAGTGTAATGATTAGATAATGAAATATGCCTTTGTTGTCATGACTAAAATTCAATTTCCTCCCTATAACAACAAGGGGAGAAAAACAACAGAAGATGACAATCGCATCCTTTAAAAAAGGGAAGTGTACAATGCAGCCACTTTGCATTGTTCTGATTTTCAGCACATCAGCTAGTGCAAAGTCATAAAAATATTACAGTATATAGTATTATCATTACCTAATAGCAACATTAGTATTATTGCTTTCGGATCTGATGCAGCAATCTTCTGCTGGCACCCTACCCACAAGCATTTCTGTAATGAAAGACTTCCAAAAATACCGCTTATAGACCTTTTCCAACTCCAACTGGTTTTAACCACTTGTTCCCTGCTGACATAACCTGCTGACTTGAGATGAAGGCCATGATTACAAGACAGAGACCATTCAGGCAAACCCATTCTAGCACAGTTGTACTACAGTGTACAAATCCTTAATGCTGAACGTTCACACGGTAACTGTGCAACTGCCCACCCACATTACTTAAACACTTAAAACGTATATAACTAGTACACAGTATACTAAGAACCTCACAGATGTTGCCCCATGTCTTGTGTGCTTCTGTTCACTGAAGATACACAGAACATCAATTACTTGTTATTTATGCTTTGTTATTTCTTTAACAGTAAAAAGAGACAGGATTTTAATCCTCAATTACCTGCTTTAATTTCAGGGTGTATTTCCCATGGCTGTGACAGAAACATGCCACACAGTGATAAAACCAATACTATTTCTCTATTGAAAATGATGGGCTACTACTGAAGAAGCTCTTTTCCACCTCAGTGAAAAGACAAAAAAACCCATCTATTTCCAAGCATGTTTATGACACAAGGCACCATCAGTGAGTACCCAACAAGCTGAAATTCGTTATTCTATAACAAGCAAAATCATTTGCATAGAGGGAAAAAAACATGTCTGGATCTGTGTGTAAGTAACAAATGTGTTAAGTATCACATAGCAATACTAATCAGTGTAATTAGGTTGTCTGTTTTTTAAGCCTTTTTGCCATTACTACATTGCCTGTAGATGCAGAGTTGTGGCTCCTGCCTAGACTCTAGTACAAGATGAACAAATAGAGTTTGGTTCAGGTTTTTACCAAAGTTGACCTAGTTAGCATGTATCTGATGAGCTACTTGTAGAAGCAAATACATTGCAAATATAGTTTTTATCTATTCTCTCCCTTCTCTGCTTTCCATATCTATTTACCAGTAAAAGATCTACGGATAGCTGGAAGGGCCACAGCACGTCTAATAGCACAAAAGGTTACTGCACTGCTGGCGAGGTCCAGCTCCACTAAATCCATTTGTTTTTTACATATTCTTGTGGCGTTGTTTGGAAAAAGACTCAAGAAAAACAACAGCCAGATTTGCAGAGTATCTTTTCTGTTCTACCTGATCTGTACAGTCTTTCTTTATAGGACTCTGAAATGCCTATCGATACAGAAAGTTATAATAAATTCTTAACCTTGCACAGTGTTCAATACATACAGACAGCATCCAGGCATCAAGGCATTACTTGTTGTGAATTATGTTCCATTAGGAAGGAAATGTAACAGAACTTGGAGTACAGTTTGTGGGTATGCACAACAATGTATGTAGTAAATATCCTGTTATAAATTCCCTTGGAGATTTCCAGTGATGCCCTTCAAGTGGAAATAAGGCATAGCAAGGGTGCTTTTCTATCACAGCAAGGCTCTCAGTGGATGTTACAGACATCTAACTCTTCTTTCTTTTTCGGTAGTGGGAAACCTCTGCCCAAAATAACACAAAGAGGGCAGGGAGAAGAAAAGCATGATATACTGGAGTGTTTTTGGTTGTGACAGAAGATGCCTTTTAAACAAAGGAAAGTCTCAGCAGCACAACCAAAGCCCTTTCAGTTCAATTTACTGAAGACTATTTCTTA